AGGAAGTCAAATACCTGCCCCATCCAAAGCTGGGAGGCTGGTAGAAACACTTAGGTTGTCAGGGCAGGAAATATCAGCCCAGTCGGAGTGGAGTCTGGCTACGGGCGTGGCGCAGCGTGCCGCCGAATAACATGCCCGCGGGCCGAGGGCTTATCTCTCATTATCTCTCAGTGCAGCCGAAAGACAGGGAGCAGGTTCCACGTTTTGTTTGCTACGTCTGGGTTTGTTTTTGGTGAATGCATGACCTCAGCGCAGCAGGTCCTCGCTCAGGGCGCTGGGCAGCTGTGTCAGCAGATCTGTGGCTGTGGGACAAGAGGTCTGGTGCCCCCCCCCCCCTCCACCCCCACTGTTCAAAGGGATCAGACTCCGCACTGACTCAGACCAGTAAAGGGCTGGTTACCAAGGGCGATAAAGGCTTGTTTCTTGCTTGGTGTGGTTTTGTTTGATCCTGTTCCACCCCTAGGTGAGGCACGCCCTTGAGACTGAAAGAAGGCTGTCATAGGCAGCGTGAAGCCACAATTCCCCTGAGGTGAACCCAGCTCTGATGGTTGCACGACGCCAGGCTCTGGCCTCCATAAATCTGCAGTATCGGATCCATAGAAATGCCTCCTACCACGATTAATTTACAAGTAGTGCTGGAGTAGCCTGAAAAAAGAGACAACTCATGAGGCATAATCTGCATTCAAGCAAGAGCAATCATCTCTCCGTTACACAGTGCAGGTGAATTTGGGAGGACCCAATGCTTTGTCGACAGTCAATGAGAAGGAGAGTAATACTAATGTTGACTTTATTGATCCCTGTTGGAAAATTCTCTTTTTGCCTCCCCCTGTGTAGGTGAGAACGACCAGGCCACAAAGGGCAGCCAGCCATTGCAGCACCCAGGGAGCTGGGGGTTAAGGGCCTTGCTTACAGGCCTGCAGACACGCGGAGGCCGGGCTTGAACCAGTGACTTAAGCTTAGCCCTCTGACCCACGTGCTGCCCTCCATCTGACTGCTGTACGGCCATGAAGGCGTGTTGTGGCCGACCAGGTGCACATGAGGGCCTATTACACCTCTTTAGGGAAGATGTCTGCCCTGCACCAGAGAGACAGACAGGAATCTACATGCCCACATGGGCGATTCCACCTATCAACCAAGCTGGCATTCACTGCTGGGTGTCCGCTCTCCCCCACACTGGAATGTGACTTTCAAGCATTATTCAGAGTATTAACCATGTGTGACAGGGTCCCTCGCTCTTTCCTCCGCACTTTCCCGCTGCCTTGCCTTCACGGACAGGGTCGATAATGGTGGTCTTCGGTCAGCTCGGGTGGGGCTGGGTCACATGACGACTGGCAGGTTGGCAGCAGGGGAGCAGCCCCTCATGGGCACGGGGGTGAAGCTAGACGGTGAGCTGTGTAAGAGCAAGACTTCGCTCAACCTTCATCATCGCGCTTTTTGAAATGCTACCTTTAACAGCCGTGTGCTTTTCGCTCTTGCCGGGGCTCGTAAAAACTCTTCTAATTAAAAGAAATATATTTTAATTATAGGGCCCCAGATAATTTTATGATGATTTACAGCAGAATAGCTTTTATGTTACACATTTTTTATGTCATAGAGCTAACATTTCTGTTTCTCTGAGCAGGCACAGACTAGAATATTTCTTTGTTGTTCACGTACCGGAAAGAGAAATAACTGATTTCAACACTGCAATCATAATTAAGTAATTTAATTAAACCTAATCTTTTTTTCCGCACTTGCCTGACTCCGCAGGCAGGAACAAGTCTGCCATCCTGTGGTGATTTTTGTAACTACCTCGCTTTGAAGGCAGTTCACCCGCTGAACTGTCTACCAATTGAATTCAATATAACTCGTAAAAACTTTTTAAATTTTAAATATCATCGTTATAGTCCATCTGATGTAAAGCTTTATATATATCTTAATAAAATTAAAACAGCGATGCATCCACTATACGAGTGCATCATAACCACGTGGTGGCACCTAAAGAATTACCGGGTCTTAACTACAGGGAGCGCTACTATCCAACCATTTAGGGAACCGTCAGTATTAAATGCTGAATGTTGGGTCAGGACACTGTGACGTTACGATTTTAATATCTTGCCTGCTTCCACTGTGGTCGCTGAGTCTTCTCACATGTGTGGAATATGCTAAGTGTAGATTTCATGTCAAGCTATACGCTAATTTAACACTAAACCCACAACATAGACGTATAAAAAATAAGCAGCCGATGTTTGTTTTATGCACCTTTCTATATTTCACTTTTGTTTCCGGTTATACGTACAGAATACAAAACAGGGAAACACCGCATGAAAAATGGACTTCAGCACTGAAGTAACGAAAACACTGTTACTAACGCAGTTACATCCGTGAGTCATATTAGAATCGATGCCAATTAGCAGTATGGGTCAGCCATAAAAGAGGTCTAGCAATCAGGACTGGTGAGGCAACTAACAATGAATTGCAGGTACATCAGACACAAAAACTTCAAAATTGTCTCAAAAATCATTACGATATATGTCAGAAACAGAAAAACAGACCAGTTAAGAGGTCATCAGGTCAAAGCTGACTAACAGGGGTAGATGAACAAGTAATATTTGCTAAACACAAAAAAATACAGCCTCAGAAATTACTACAGAACCGAATGAAATTGTGAGCTTCACAAACCGGAATTTATTAAAAGGTCCCCCTTTGAAAAATGCTGGTATCTAAAGGCCAAAGCCTGAAGAGGTAACCTGGGGCAAGGAGAACATTTCCTGGTCCTTGTGGCAGTGAGAAACGGTAATAGACCTATAGTTTGATGAGTCATCTTTCATCCCTTTCTTACACCCAGATGGCTTCATGTTTGGAACCAAGCCAAAGGACGCCCTCAACTCACCATGTCTGTTAGTATGGGCAGCCATCTTCTGTGAGGGATTGGGCAGAATGATCACTCTGCATGAGTATATAACAGGCACGGAATATCAAGCCATGTTACACAGCCAGGTATACCGTGTCATCCAACCTCTTGCCGTATTCCGAGATGATTGTTGCCCCCTTATACAAAGTTAAACAAATTCACAAGGTTCCATGAACGTCAGGTTGGAGTGGAACGCCTCCAACGTCTTCCCAATCATCAGATCTAAACGGCATTGAACCTTTTTGGGAAATTCTAATGTAAAGAGCGTTAAGTACATTTGCACCATCTCCATCCTCCAAAGGACTGGGAGCTGTGCTTCTAGAAGAACAGCCCAAAATCCCACTACACAAAGTTCAGGTGTGGAATAACAGCATTCTGAGGAGGATTGAGACCAAAGTATAATCCTGTTTCTTTTACGTCCTCCATACTACAACATTGTTAGGTGTTTCTGTTTTTTTTTTTTTGTCCAAACCTAGCTAGTAAATTCTCATCATTGCCTGTTATCGGCTATTATGTAGGGTGAGTGTTATTAAACTGGGACACTTCATGAAAATGATATATCTGGAAATATTTACAGAATCATCTCAGCGTCTTGAATGCCTGCTTGATACTATTCTAAATACATTCATGCCCCTTGAACACTATATTGAAGAGAAAAAAGTATAACTAAACACATATTAACTGCAAAGTTTAACTGTCAGATTTTGCCAGGTGTCTTGTTTTAACGACACTCATTCTAATCTGTTACAGCTTTTATTATATATGAAATACAACTAAAGTGCGTCTTTCGACACCTGACACAGCATATGAACGCGTTTTAAACAAGATTGCAAACTGTTCTGTATTTACCGTCAGATTACCGAAACCATTTTATGACGTCATAAACTAACTAAAGTAAACTAAGCAGTCCACAGATGGGCGTGTTGTAACGTTGCTCGCTCTTTCGTCATTTAACTGGACACAGGTAGCTTACATGCGTCTTTTTATTACAGCAGACGAAACCAACAACTGTATTCAGCAACCGCTGTCAAGGGACCGTGTCTCCAAAGTTTAACTGCAGCAGTCATAATCTTTTAAAAGGCAAACTAACTGCTCTTTATTAAAATGTCTCTGACGCGTTTCTTAAAAAAAACGCAAAATGTCCCTCGCACCACCGTTGTCTAGTTTATATGGGCGTTTAAATTGCGTCGCTGTAATGACTTGTTGTAATCACTTTTTCTTTTTAATCTTCGGAGTGTCATGTAGGACATCACTCATTTTCATATTCATCGTTTATTTATTTATTGACCGTATATCATGTATATTTTAATTATGCCCATCATACACGTTGCATTGTGTATTTCAGAATAAATATCTTATGATGCCTGTGTTTTAAACTAGCAATACTTCGCGATTTGCCGTGAGGTGGGATTAAACAGGAAAAAGTAGTTTAAAAATTGTAAAAGGATTTTATGTAATATATAACATTAGCTATTTCGTATTTTACTGCAGATTTAAAAGACGGTAGGTATTCTGTGCGACCAGCGTCTGTTAAGTTTTGTGAGGTATTCGGCAGTAAGCGCTGGCATTTTTGTGGGTTTTAATTGCTATTTTGCGCACCTCTGGTCCCCGGACGGCTGGCGCCTCCAGTGATTAGTCTGTGTCTGTCTGCTTAGCCGGCTGGGTAACGGGTCTTCAGCAGATGGCGCACCAGGGCAAGTCAACACTACATGTCTTATTACAAGATTAAATATATTCCTGTTTACAATGATTAAAATCGGGTTTACTTCTCGAGAACAAGCAGAACTTCGAAGACGTCAACATCTATGTGTGTATAAGTGACTTAGCAATGTAACAAGTTGAATTAATATTTGTATTTAGTTAGGGAGCAAGTATATTCCATAAAGTGCCTAAAATTAAATGTTTATTACATTCTATGGGAATATCATTAAACATGGGTTATGGAATATTGTGAACAGCATAATCTGGCATCTTTTCTTTTATTTTTTTTATTCTGAGACTGGTCAATAACCCTAACCTGCGAAACTAACCCTGAGCATCTCGTATTCATTGGCTGCTCGCGGCTGACGAGCCCTGCCTCCCACGTGACCCTGGATAAATGCCCTCCCGCCCGCATCTTTGGCAACAGACAATCAGAAATACATCCTGGGGATGCTGCATCGTCTTTTTTTGTCGGCGATGAGGATGCTCTACAAAACTTTTGAGCGGCCGCTACAGACTCGCAGTTTATTCTTTTAGCTATATGTTTGCTTAAGTTTCGTCGTGCTGTTATTACACAGTCAGCTTTGGCCATCGTAGAACATTATTTTACTTGGCGTACTCCACTAATACAATGACCGGAGTTTTTGATTGTCTAACTTCAGATATGCATTCCAGCCAGATTACCTCAAACAGTTACCACACCTTGCACAAATCGCAGGAATCACCAACTCTACCGGTGTCGACTTCCACAGACAGCAACTATTACAACAACCAACAGACTGGACACTGCGCTGGATCGCCTTACGGACAGCTTGGTCTTTATCAGTACCAACATACGAATGGTATAGGCAACGGTCAGTACAACTCCAAGTCCTACGACGTGGGCTTCAACACTTCTTACAGCACATACGGCTCATACGCTTCAAGCTCCTCGCCACCTCCTACGGACGCAGGTAATACTCCTCAAAGTAAACCCAACGTTAGATATTACTTTAAAACGGGGGTAAATGGTTTGCGTAATAAAACGTTTCTGTTTTTCTCTGTTCCCCATCAGAAAAAGAAGAAGGTGAGAGTGAAATCCGAATAGTCAATGGGAAGCCGAAGAAAGTCAGGAAACCTCGCACTATCTACTCCAGCTTTCAGCTGGCCGCGCTTCAGAGGCGCTTCCAAAAGACACAATACTTGGCTTTACCCGAGAGAGCCGAGCTGGCGGCGTCCCTGGGACTCACACAAACCCAGGTAAGAAAAAAGAATAACACCAACATCTAAACCATTACACTTAGATACTTAGAATTAAAGTTATTATTTCGGAACCGTTATGATCTTTACCGGCATGCGGACAAGTAGGCCTCTGCAACATCATATCACTTCTCTCAATTGTCACCACAAGTTCAACTTCGTTTTATTTTCTCGTCCCTTAGTTGACATACAACCACTTAACACTGACTTATAATTCCGTTGTTTGTTTGCTTGCGTGTCTGTTTTTCCATTCCTGGCTGTAATCGCATGTGTTTCCGATATTTCTCAGGTGAAAATCTGGTTTCAGAACCGCCGGTCGAAGTTTAAGAAGCTGTGGAAAAACGGAGAAATTCCCCCGGAGCAACATGTGGCTTCCAGCGAGTCTCCCCCCTGCAGCTCTCCGCCAGCTAGCATAGCCTGGGATTTTCCTCCAAATCAAAGAATGAACGGTGTAAACACGGGCTTGGTTCAAAGCAGCAGTCCTTCTAATTCGACTGCTCCTTCCTTCATGGCAAACTATTCCTGGTACAACTCCACGAACTCTGCAGCCCATATACCACCTAACCCGTTATTACAACACCATAACTCTGCTGTGAGTGCGGGGACTATATTTTAACACTGGGCTGAACGACTCGTGAAAGAAGACAAAAAAAGATTTTTACTGACCGTCTGGTTCCTTTTTTATACGGACTTGAAATTTGTAAACTCGTCCTTTCACGGTGGAGGCAAAAAACGCGCGAGTGTGACAGACTTGATGTCGGTGCCAGACTGTAAAATATCGCCCTGCCCCGATTTTTAAGAATTAATGTTTGCGAAGTTGTTTGTAAACGTCTCATGGACAATTATGCAACATTTAAATTATTGTTTTTTTTTTTTTGTATTTATTTATTGTGTTTGTTTTGGTTTTCGAAATATGAAAACAAGACATATATCCAGAACAGCGTGTTTTTACAATATATGCAAATCGTTAGTGGGGCAGTTCGGCGTAACATCTCAAGTAAATGTAAGCATTGCGGTAATAAACATGTAGCAGCCTTTAAACGGTAATGTTGGATTTTGAAAATGACCTCGAGTTTGTTAGCAAACATGTTTTGTATGTACCAAAAATTGTTTTTATTATATATTATTTCCATATGAGGTTAAGTGGAGCATATCGGACTAGTTTGCATTAAACTTAAAGTCTTGCTGTTATAAAATATATCTGTTTAATGTACACAATTTGTTTAACTTACACCGTGAAATTAACTAATGTCTTCTATAAAATATTATGCGTTTCCTAACTATTTATTTTATTACAAAAATGTTATTTACAGCGGTAGTTAACAATTCGAGAATGATTTAAACAAAAACACATTCTGTCTTGCCTAAGAAAGGCCCAACCTGGTTAAGAGTGGTTTTGTTGTTTTTACAAGCGTCGGCGATCACTTCTACGGATCGTAAATTTAAATCTATTCATGTACATTTAGCCGAATTAGCGCAGCATATTCAACTTTAATCTGCTGTTATTCTGTAAATTTACACGCCTTGTCAATTTTATGCGGCTGCAGTAATATCTATGGCCTTCATAAATACACCATGAACTCTGTTAACTTCAACGTCGCGCTGAATTTCTTCTTACATTAATTTTTAGTTTGGAAACTAACAATATTACGAAGCTTTTGAAAATGTTTTGTACGAACATATAACTAGAATTAGTAGGACGGAGGACACGATGTTAGTTCCGTAAAATTATTCTGGAACAGACGTGAATAGCAACCACCGAATTTTATATTTGAATATTAAGGTACTAATAAGAGAAATAATTTATTTTTCTGCTAAAAGGCTTTTTCGGTGCATGTGCTGCAATGGCACGTTGATTTCCTTGGGTAGGGTCCGGAGAATGCGATGCAGACAGGATGATTAACAGACAGGACGTTGAGCCCGAGGCGCAGTGTGAGAAAGAGTGGTTCAAGGCACGCAACGCGCCTTGGCATGTGAGCGGTGGGATGAGGGCGTTTTGCTGAGCGCTGCCCCTCAGACTCTCTGGAGTCACAACGCCTCTCCCAGACTTTTTATTAACTCAGCTCCGCCAAGGAAAAAAAAGCGTAATCTTAAAAAACGCCCCGAGCAAACCAACATGGAAACATTTCTCCTACATTGGCGTTGCCTCGGTCAGCAGAGGGCTTTTGCATGGGTGTACGCAGAAGCAGATCCCTCTGCTGATAGGTTTGCTCCACATCTGCTCGGTGAAAATGGCAGAGGAACTGAGACTGAAGAGTCGAAGAACATAGTATTTACGCGTCGCATTTAAGTATTTCACGAGCTTACTTTCCGATTTAGTGATTCAGTAAATCGCAGCTCACAAAAGTGTAGGAATTCTAAAATTACAAGGACTTTAGCAAAGCGGCATATTTATTTAAAATGGGGATTTGTACTAATTACAAACCTATTTCTATGATCCAAGTGTCCACTGTATCTACTGGAATTTGATTACGGTTGTATGTTTTATAATAAATCATTTAAAACCATTCATAATGCACAATATAGGCCTAAATGAATTGTAAATGTATATTAGTAGTAGGCCTATTTATTTTATAATAATACTATAGGCCTACATTTTATTCATAACGTAATTGTAGGATGTACTAAATATTTACTTTGAAGCGGCAGTGTTTTCCGTATGTATTTATATATTGTACACAGTATTGCCAGTAAGGCTAAGGTTGTTTTATTTATTCACAATGTATTGCGTGATATAATATAGCCGTAAATAAAGGGATCGTTTTAATAGAAATGAAATACTTTGCCAAGGAATGCTGCATTGCAATTTGTTACATTTATATCCATAGCCATGTTATCTGCGCCCGCTATGCGTTATGATCCCTTGAGACGCTCCAAAATGCAATTGAGCAGAGAATCAAGAAAATCGCTATATATATAAAGGACATGTTCGTGGAATTTCTTTAGCATGTACAATTTGGGATACTCTGAAAAGGTACATAGGCTAGAGTATTTTAAATATTAGCGAAGGATAAATACGCATGTTTTGTGTAAGGTAGTTGTAGTCGCACGGAACGGAACGCGTTTAGCCTTGACAGTTACTGCGGATACGTCTGAGTGAAATGAGAAACTTGATAGCTGAATAATAATCTAAGTTAAAGGCCAATTTAAATGTCATGTGTCTACTTCTGCTCTTTCTGAACCTTTGCAACACGTCAGTATTTCAGCTAACGGCATCCTTAAGTATCATACTGTCAGCCAGAATACAAGTATTGCCCCTTTCCGCTTGTGTAAGGCTGATTTCACTAACATTCACGTTGATTATGGTAGAAAAACTGTACGTATCCAAAAGTCGCCGGTAATATGCATGGTGTATTAATACGCAAAACATGCATTACGTGCAGCATGTGGAACAACCTTCTTCATTTAATTAATACTGGTTAAACCGCTACATGTTACCCCAGAACAGATCTGCCGTGATGTGGCTTTACACTTCCGGAATCCTGCAGACAACTTGAAAAATGCCATACCCCTTTGCCTAATTCGTACTCTGATCTGTAATTTCATCCACATTTGCTCTAGTTTGAGCATTCTGGCTTTCCGATCTGAAAGCCTGCAATTACTATATAATTCTTCGCAATTTTAGATGTCCTAATATGGACTGTAATTTTTGCGCAAGACAATTTCCAGCTATTTCAAGCATCAACATTGTCAAAGTTGTATGTACATAATAAATGGGAATATCAATGCATAGTTTTTAGCATAACATCTTGACTCCTCGATAATTATATCCGTTTCGAGCCTACGCAGAATTAGTCTGAATTGCATGGTAACTGCTGCTTTAAATTTTTTAAAAATTACTCATAATTTTCCCAAAGATTACCAAGATCTCGAGTGCACAGTGTCATCAACGTAATGAAGAGTAAACATTTATGCTAATAATCTGCAATTTTTTCCATCAGCTATAAAGAGAGGAAATATATCTGAAATGTTCAGTCATACTGAACAGTGCTGTTCTAACACATAGCACAGCATGGATAACAGTTTGCGGGAATCCGGCGCTCTACCGGATAGCATGATTCGGACGCCACTTTCCTTACACCTTCCCTTAAACAGCGCATCACTGTTACCAGAATAGGGAAGAGCCTTCGCGGTTGACTGTAATAGAGATTAAGGTAAGGACGGAGCTTCATTAATTTATTAACGAAGACAGATGATTTTGTTCACAATTGTTAAAGATTCTATAGGTGTGACGACGAACAAGGACTGTGCCGAGTTGTTTTAAACTGACTGCACCTCCGTTTAAATAATACTATGCTAATAATAACAACATAAAAATAAAGTATTGAGAATATAAATGACAGCTTTTGTTATATTTTTTCACGCTGCTGATTATGCTAAAGGAATGACATTATCATGTATAGGAAAAATGATAGAACATTATAGATGCCGTAGAATGTATAATAATTTAATATCGTTATTTCTTATTTTTACTAAAATGTGAAAAATCTGAATTATTCCACACTAACATGGACACTGCAAGAAATAAATCTTGGTATGAAATGAAGACGCAGAACAGGTGCAAATATTTTTTTTTTATCTCCGAAACAGCAAAAACTATACTTCCTGTACAAACGTCAACTTTTAACATTTAAGAAAGTATTCACACCGAGACAGTATTGCTCGTGTTTTAATACAAAATCATAATCAGTTAGCTTTTTCTGTGAGTAAAATACTGGCGGCTATATGAGAAATAATCATTTCAGGTGGCTGTTGAGCAATTATCTGGTAGGCAAGTAATGATATTCTCTAATTTATTATTAAATACACATAAAGGTTTTTTGTGGAATGGAAATGGAATTAAGGGATTAGAAAATAAGGCCTCTCTTGTTCCATAATTTTACCGAGCTGCCTTCATTACTTTAACATTGTGCTTTTGCTAATTTCGAACCCTCTTCCTATTGACAATACCACAGCATACACCTGCAAGCAATTTGCCGGGCTTAAATATAAGAGAACGGCGAAGAGACGGCAGATCACCTATTTCACTTTTTTCAGTGTACAGCAAATTTGTCTTTCAGTGCGCCATCTCCTTTGTTAATGCAAAAAGATTCCCTGTGAGGAGAAAATGCTCATAATTACCCTAGAGAAGGGCAACTGCATTAGAATAAATAAACCCGAAATTACTGTAATTATGTTGCGTTTGATGGGCTCGGCTTGTAATCAAGAGGAGAATACAGTGAAATAACGCTGACCCTCTCGGCTGTGCAGCTGCACGCGCACTTTGGAGTCTTTCAGAGAGACGGGGAGTGACGAAAGGATGTCATTTTTTTCTCCATTAAGAGCCGCATGTCACCCTATTTAAGATACAGCGAAATCAGATTTTTATTTACATGTGAGTTCTAAATTTAGGCCCATTTTAAAGCACTAATGAGTTCCCCTTATGAGATTTCTTACGTGTGGGGAGTTATCACCACGCGTGGAACTCACAGTTCATATGCTTTGGTTAAATAATAAACTGATTAAATATCAAAATGACTGACTAACCCCCTCATTTCAATCTAAACAATATATTGCTGGCCAAAAACTGCCGTTTTTATCATGGAAGTTGAATCTTTTAAAACACACATTAATTGCTAAATTAAAAGTAATTTAATTATGTCCATTGTTAACATAAAAAACCATTTTTAGTTAAAGGTGACAAAATAGCGGATGGTACATCGATCGACTACTACTAACCGAATCACAAACCGAATATTGTTTCAAAATGGCAAACTATGTTGTGTTTTACCATCAATACGAAAATTCGACTTTCTCAGGAATCGGTGAACAATTGATACAAACAGCAAGTTCATTATTGTTATTACAACCACAAACGACCGGTAGGCATAATCTGCCGAATATTTTATCCAATACTATAGGAAAGACTTTACCCAGTGAGGCCTACAGAAATGGACGAAATTTCCATTTAATTAAAAATAATGGTCTATGCTAGAATGTTATGATTTATGGCAGAATATCATGAAAGTGTTAACGGAAAACAAAAAAGCAATAATAACGAACAAGAAAGTAATCTATTCAAAGCCTTCCTTTGGAGGTACGAATTGGAGAAACCATATGAATAGATTTAAGGGAGGATGTGAAATCTGAGGGTAATTTGTGGCCTTGAGTGAAGCTTGGTGATTGCTATCGGTTTTCCACAGAACAGGCCGCAGCTTTTCCTACTCTGACTATGTCAGTTAAATGAAAATTCTCGCAGGCCACACAGAATGCATGTCAAAATTTGTTAATGGCGGCCTATTACTTCAATTACGACTCATTACTACGTATTACTACGTTCAGTCACGTGCTAAAAATGGTCACTATATTATTATCATTATTATTATTATTATTATTATTATTGTTGTTGTTGTTGTTGTTGTTGTTACTGCTGTTGTTACTACTGCCACTATTTCAAATGAGCATATAACTAGATAATAATCTTTTGTTTAACCAAGTTAACGAAGACCTCCAGGGACCAGTATTTCAATAGTCCATCTTTACGCGCGAATTCAGCGACAAATTGCCTTTAAGATGCATGCCCTGCCAACAATCAATGCTACAGCTTTTATTGACACGCGTTATTATGTTTCGCTCTTAAGTTCACTGAACACGCTCCACGTCGTCAGTCGCGTCCAGCGTACACAGAACCCTACCGATACGTTAAAATTCAGGCGCCGGTATGTACGTGTCATCGTTTCAGGTGGCGCGTATTCATTCTAAGTTCCCGCGGTCTTGGTCCTTCAGGTTTCTGTAAAAGCGCAGTTAAACCATCAACCCAAAACAAGAGCCCCTTTGAACCTCTCAGTTTTACTGATCTACATTTTAACCACTCACCCCCCAACCAACACCCCTTTCCTTGACGAAATGCAGCCTTTTCTCACAGCACCTGCCTCTCTTTCAATTATTCCTAAACGCACACAAGTACTCTCTTTTCCATTCACGGATGAAAATGGGATTTGTTAGATCTAAAAAAGGAGAAAAGAGAGCTTATAGGGACTAAATAAAAATGAAAAGAAACAAGAACTGTGATTGCTGTAGAAATTACAAAGTTAGGGGGCAAAGTGGGCGCGTGGGGGGGATATACAAGATAAAGATCAGATTATGATACGACTACACAATTACTAAACCTATGAATTTTAAATGTACCTGTGAATAAGCAGGACATTTATTTAAAGATTTGGAAATATAAAGGCTTTTTCTATTTTTTTTTTTATAAAGATGTCTAATCGTTTCTATTTATTAAAAATTCCATTGGGCTTTTTATATCGCATAACTTCCTTGCCATTTCTGCAAAAGCACTCTCAGCTTCTAAGTTACTTGTGCACGTCCTATATTGTCCTTGTACAGTCATATTTTTATTGTTTTGAAATTTTACACACTATATACAAAGAATTTCGTAATACAAAACAATAAATTAACGTGATCAATATAAAACTAAACTTTGCCATATAGAACGCTAAACACTGTTAAGTGAACACATTCATATTAAAAGGTAAAATCCTATTTCACAAAGCATTGAATATACACAGCCACAAACATACAAAAGCTGAATATGCCTTGTATTTATGTTTATGTATATATACACCAGTCAGCTCAATGCACGTTCCCTTTGCGCTGACACAAATAGTAACAGTACTAATGTTTCCAAAACGTTCCTTAAATCTAGAAAACTTTTCAACAAGATTAGAAAATGTTTCAATATTTAAAGTATCGGGGCTTGTCCGCTGTAACAACTTTTAATATTTTTATGAGTTGATGCAGAATGAATATTATGTAAATTATTTTCTGTTATTTACTCTTTGTTTATACTTTAAAACATATTCACGTTTTAAAAATAAATAATTTAAACATACAGATTTTGGACATCAAATTTAAATAACTTAAATTAAATAAACACACGCAAACAAATACATTATGCAACCAATATTCAGAGACACACATCGCGTGTGTTCGTCTGTTTGACTTTCTACAGCAGGCCATTATATGCTTGCTGCGTTTTGACCTTGACAATTGCACAGAAAAAGAATTCATCCTTTTTAAGTACTTTCTAAAACGACATCACGTGTCAAACAGGCTAAATCGAGTATCAAAGATGTTGGCTCTTGTGTGAAGCCATGTTGCTGTTTATCTGTCTTAAATAAGGTGTCGATCTGATTTTTCTGAGTTAGGCTACTATGAAGAAATTCGTTCTCTTTGATTAATTCGTTACAGTTTTAAAACGACTACACTTGTTAAAAGGTCGCGGAAACTAGGAAACAGCAGCTTTTAGAGACGTTTATTTCACTATCGTGTCCTTCTGCTTCTGTTCTGGGTTCAAATAAGACATTCTTCTTGCCGTGCTGCGCAGATGGAGCCTGTTTAGTTTCTGTTACCAGGCTGTACTCGGAGGAGTCTGTCGGTCAGTTGGGAGCTTTGGGAATCTCCTCTGATGACATCTACGACTGGTCGCAACAGGCCAGGACGCAGGGCCGCGATGGGTAGCTGGTCCTCGATACCCTGATTTGGGCAATCCACGGCAGTGAAGTGGGCGGGGCGGGTTAAGAGTTTTGCCTTCACATGAGTTGTGGCTGCTGCATAGCTTCCTGGTGTGCGGTGGGGTACCATGAGGTGTAGCTAGGAATATAGGCGCCTGGGGTGCCCGTCGACGTCTTTACGGTAGCCGTATTGTTCCAAACCGGCGCAACGGAGGGAGAGCCAGCGGAAAGTCCGCGACCATTGGCCAGTGCGCTCGTGTCAATCGTGCCCCCTCCTTGCTTCATCAGTTTCTTGAACTTTGACCGTTTGTTCTGAAACCAGATCTTTACCTATAAAAATATTACCCAGTAAGTCAAAAAATGTTGATAAAAGCATGCCAGGCCAACTACGTCCCGGTTTGGAAAATAAACATGCATTTTAAGGATCTAATCAAATATCTCAAACATTTCAAAATGCTATAAAATAGTTTAACTAAACATAGCCTAACCATAATCCCTTAAAATGCGGAACATAGAACTATTGTTAAGTAAAACGTATTACATTTTATGTAATAAAAGTGACCTTTGTCAGGCCGACATATATCATACGTCAGGTTTAAATGGCCCCGAAAGAAACTTGCCTGGGTTTGTGTGAGTCCAAGCGAAGCCGCGAGTTCTGCTCTCTCTGGCAATGCGAGGTATTGTGTTTGTTGAAAGCGTCTGTTCAGAGCCTGCAGCTGCAAACTGGAGTATATCGTCCTGGGTTTTCGAATCTTTTTGCCTTTGCCGTTGAACCGTACCTCTCCGCCTTCCACAACAGTGTTTTTTTCAGTATCTGTCGCTGGGCGTGAAAAGAGCGGTAGAATTCATGAGACATCTCCGCAGACTCTATTGGCAAGCAGCGAATATGAGACCGCAAGTTGTACAAGCTGTAGTTTAGGTATAATTGCCCTTAATTGCATGCATTGTTTATAACATTACGCAATAAATAATTACAGAGATGGTACCAATAATTATCATCTGGGCCGATTCTCCAATCCAGCGCTTGTTGGACGCGCTGGACAAGACACGTCGCACAATTATAGCGCCGTAGATTTAAGAAATTCGGGCATATTAAAAAAATCTTACCTGTGTCATCTAGCCGTGTCTGCGATAGTGTCGGGTTGCTTTGGTAAGACTGTACTGTACTTAAATATGGACTTGAAGAATGGCTACCGACTGAACTGACGTAAGGATAACCCAGAGACCGAGGGAAGGATGAAGCGGCGCCGTAGGAACTATCCTGTTGAGAATGACCAGAAGAATGCAAACAGTGCATAGAGTAATGTCCATGAGACATCGACGACGGCGACATTTGTTGACTTGGCGGCCCGAATTCCATAAAAACGGTCTTTCCTGAGACAGGGCTATTAAGACTTTCTGGCATTGTAGTCATTGTCATCTCTTCTGGTTGATCTCTTCTCCTCCTTTTTGTTTTCTTCTATGATCTCAGTGAAGGATGGATCCCAATTTAAGCCGACCTGTTTTTTTCACTCTCCATTCATAAGAAAATGTAGTTTGTCTCTGTGAAAAGTCCACGCATGATGCTGTGGATCCACACAAACTCGCCTCAAAGGTTTGAATCGAGTAATCATGAATATTCATCAAGGATTGCTGCTGATTGGTCCACTCCTTCCAGGAGTGGCTCGGATTGGCTACTCCGGGGTTGAGTCCAGAGGACCTGGGAAACTCAAGAAAAACAGCAAAGCTGAGAACCAATACAGAGATTTCAGAAGTCGGCAGAGAAACAGAGTGAAGATATATTATGGGGGGGGGGGGGGGGGTACAGAGAGAATAAGTGTTATTTGAAATCACTTTTAAAATGGTCTTGTGTGAAGACAATATATTTTTGACATTTAAGTTATATACTTCAATTACAGGATTTTTTTCCGTGGCTGCCAGCCAGCGGTCCTGCTCGTAATCACACTGTCTGTTCTTGTGAACGGTTCCGTTCATTATACATTGCAGTTTTAATGGAAATATATTTTGTCGTTTAAATAACAGTAAATATTCAAGTTAATAGCTACGCCAAATGGCCTTATTAAAAAGCTCTAAAACCAATTCTTTTTTGCATAAATTGCTTACTTTTTTCGAAGTCATTAAGACATTATGATGATTTCAAATTATAATTATTAAAAATCTTTCAATAACACTGCAAGCATTAATGACATGATCAGACATTCAGTGAATTAATTTTTTTGAAAATAAAACAAAACTGACACCAGATTTTCACGAATTACTTTAAATTATATAGGCCTAGCACAAACGTAGGAAAGTAATTCAGTTCCAGGAAATTTAAAATAAATGAATTAATGTAAAATTAATTAAAAACAATATGTAATGTATTGATAATAATATGAGTAATGAGAAAATTATTATTATCCTTAAACATACAGCCAGTGTGGGATTTGAACGATAATAAAAACAACAAATCAAGGTAATAAAGATTTTAATGAAAATGTCGACAAATTTCTAATTGTTAACCGTGGCGTGGTTTGGGAGAGTTCTCACGTGCAGATGTAGGCTATTACTTACCGATTCATTTGATTAAATTCTAGTCTCAAGTGCCCCGATCCAGCTGAAGGCAGCTCCATTAGCATAACACTGATGTTTAATTTTCATACGCATAATTAGCCATATATTTAACACTTCCAGCAGCCTGCTGTCCTCATTCACCTTTAAGCAGCAGAGAGGTCCGGGTTTGAACTGGTGGATTTTGGCAGATTTGAATGTGTGCGGGACAGTTTTTACTGTCAGAAAACAGTTCAATATCACACGTCAACAGCGCAGAGGAAAGTGACGGCAAGGGATATGCGATATTTCTTAAAGTTGGGCACAAATTAAAATTCAAAACAAATCATAAATCCGCCAGAAACCCCACATGCCATGCTTTGCAGATGGTGTTAACTGCAAGGAATAAACAAGGGACTTCCTCACGAGCGCTGTACAAATCATAATTAAGGCAAGGGGAATTCTGTCTTCTCTATATATGCAATATGAATACTGAAATGAAATACTCGCAGAATATTCGTAAGCAGTCACCCTTCCGAACCCACAAGGTTCAGAGGTCCTCTCCATAAAAGTACGGAATCTGTAATGTTTAAATCATCACTACCCATTAGTTCATAGTCTAAATACAACAAATTCATCACAATTAATTATAATATTATACCCGATTTCATAGCATTCCCATGTTATTATGCATATATATTTACACAACCAATATCACACGAAAAAACTAAAGAATTCAACAACCAATGGAGACAGACCCGTAGTGCTTGGCGTAAAGATGGTGAATAATATTGCGTAGGATTTTAAAAAGATGCCAAATTACACGTAAACGTATGTCTGAAATTCAGATTTAAAAAGTCGAATCGGATTCACATTTTCAAGATCAATTGAAATATATTATCTGGTTATTAATCGAAAGTTATTATTCCATTTTGCGTATTTGTATCACCATTTCAATAAGTAAATAGGGAATCCTCTTTAATTTACTTTCATTATTATCTCTGAAAACATCACTTATGGAAACTCTCACGGACGGACCGATAGGATAGACATGGTGTGTTACTATCTAGATGCATTTTCCTTTCAATAATATTAAAAAGCATTCGTTCGGATGCCTATTGTGATTATTCAATAAAACTAAACAACACGATAAATTATATTCACTTGCCAATAATAAGGCAGAAGTAGGGAAGGCTGACAGTCCATTAAATTTTGACCAGATACAGTACACATACATCAGGCAGTAAACCCTGCACCATAAATAACATCGCCTCACAGTAATTTGCACTACAGACGTCTCGTTACCACAGCAGTTGGTAAAATCCTCGTTGGTAATAGCATTATACCACGGTAATGTCATGATGCCAGCAGACACAGAAATAATGTTATACTAATTGACCTTAATCCCATTTCTCAATAAAATTGTAAATGCATTTTCCACCAAAACCATTAACGTCATTGTATGACATTTTTAAATAGTTTATGCGGTTTGATGGGAAATTGAATTCATGCGAATTTATTGAATCTTCGATCGATATTGAAAAATGTTACACTACATGTTTTTGTTTTTTTATGCGATTTCTCGAAAATTTAAAAACGCTGTTATGATACCCTTAATTAACAGTGAACGGCGTTTGACAACATGACTTACAGTATTATGAAATATTTTTAAACTATCACGCTCTTCAAAATTGCTTTTAAAACTCAGCATAATGACCAGCCTGACAATAAACATATGACAAAATACTGGATAAGACACGTAAAAATTATATGACGAAAAAATGAGACAATCGAATACAAGACCATACCATTCCTGTTTATTGTCCTTTTGTGGTGGCGATGCCGCGCGCGTCCAGTGATTCATTTTACTTCCCCGAATCTGTTTCTTACTTTGCAGTGGAGGCAAAACACACAGAGGCACTCGTCTCTTCGACTGGCTGCTCAAACTCTCCACATGAATCACAAATTAAAGGCAGTTAAATTCCGTCACAGTGATTATCAACCTAATTACATAATTGAACTCAAAGACGCAGAACAAGCAACTTTTCGATGTGTTTATAGAACCCACAGAAAAGGACGACGTGTAATGCCTATTCTGAAATGTACGCGTGACAACAGATTTCAGCATTTGCACGGTTCAATAGAAATACTATCCACAATAAGAAAACGTTACTCTTCACCAACCCCTTTAAACTGACCAATTTCGAGCAATTTAAATCACAAATCATCTTTGAATAAAGGGTGCTTGTTTAAGCGATCCCTTGTCAACTGCAAAAATAATAATAGTAATAAGAGCAATAATTATCATCCTGAGGTTCGGTGAAACTTTTATCACAGGCCCGTAGTGGAAGCGTCATGGTAATGCAGTGCCATTATTTACAACCTGATTACCGTAACTACAAACTGGGATTCACAGATGGGCGCGCAATTGCCAGGCTGCTGTAGCTTCCGCTGGGGTTTACAGGCTGACATGTCATATTTCCCCTGTTGTCACTGGGCAAACGGTTTTATCATTTAAGAACATGAATAAACATGTGCTATCAATTCCGACACCAGTTTGGAAACATGCGGCAGAAATTAAAATGAAACCATTTCAGAAAATTCACTGTGATTTAGATGTAAACCAAAGAATGCATGATGGCCATGAGAGAATACATAGACCGTCGACGACCTTTTACAATACTTCATCTTTCCCATTATTTAACATGCAATGAAAGCGATTGATAATTTTATGTTATTCTTCTCTGCTGCCAAAAGTTATTTATGATTATTTCTGCTTCACGGCTGATCCCTCGCTTCATGTTATTAAGAATATGATGACGACAGAGACAGCGTTGAAACTAAAATAAAGTCTCGGCAATGAGCCAGTGGGCTGTTTGGAGAGAGGAGGCAAGAGGTGCGATGCGCAGCTGCTATGCTGAGGTCCCATCTAAGCGAAATGGACATGATGAATATGACTGTGTGAGATATAGACCATGTAGGACCATGCACCAATATATACATATATACAAATGCAATCACACATATTACTGTATGTGCATTTATGTATATTCATACAAACATTTATACGTGTGCTTGCATAATTGGGGATCTCCAAAGCTGCATCTTGCTTCTGTACGTCTGCTGAGTATCTGGCCTGAAACTGATCAAAATTTCGCAAATTTCACCTTGAACGGAGTCGCTGCTGCTAGCGCTCAGTGCTGTGAAGTTCTGCTCCTCCGGGGCCCAATGTGGCGCCTGATTGAACTCTGCCAGTGCATCCTCACAGCTACGTCTGTAAAAGTCACCTAGAAAATAACATTTTAATGACTCATGAGTCTAAATATCAGAAAAATTGCTAGAAGTAAGTTTTTACCTAAACCCTATTATTTATAGTTTTTGATCAGCTAAAATACCAATACATTTATTGTGGCTCCCATGGGATATCTGTAGCCCCAAACAGGTACACACACAAGTCAAATGACACAAATTACCCTGATCTTGATGTACTGAGCCATGCTAATTCGGCAGTGAAACCCCCCCTGGTGCCCCTGTCACACAGACACTGAGCAGGACCCCAGCAGAGATCGCTACCTGCACCTGGCTGGCTCCCATGGAGTCCAACTTTCAACGGGACCTTAAAACCAAAATATGGCTCAGGGTGGGCGGGGGGGGGGGGATGTGAGCTTATTGATGCAGTTCTCTGAGGCGTGTGGATTTCCCCCAGCTGAAAGGCCCCCAGTTTTCCACATGCACCCCCCCCCCACCACTGCTGAACCACTGAGGATGGCTTCTCAGGGAGACGGTTTGTCTCACGCAGGTCGGATGGTTCTCTCTAATCAGGAGCCCTGCGGGCTGATTTATTTAATCACAGTGGGGTGGCAGCCAGAGTGGCCAATACCAACTGGCAGCTAGGGGCGCGCCTAGTGAGCACCGCCCCCCACATAACACAGTCACCTCTCCCCTACGCCCCCCGTCGCAATGAAATGCTCCACCTTGGTGTCGGCGAGAGAAATCGGGCTAAGGTTGCCCTATAAGATCTTCAGTTACGCTGGCCACCATTAAAACAATATGGCCGCCATATTTTCAGAATTTTTAAGGCGGGTAGGCACACATTCATGCACTCACAAAGGCTGAATGTCACGTAATTACATGTCACACATAATAAAAACATTTTACACACAAACTACCCTCCTATAAAAATAACTGTTTTGTGCGTGTTTATTTGAAATCCATTAAACTGCAATATCAGTAGCTGATTAAAACAAGCAGCACGTAGTTTAACAAACATTCTCAGATACTCATACATCATAAACACATGCTTTGCTAACTATTAACTTTTATTTAATAATGTAAGCTTACGCCATCGCCGTGAAAGACCTTAATTTAGACAGTCAAAGGAAATGTCTCACATTGCAAACAATACTTAACATTAGTCACAATGGTGAAAACATGGCTCTAGTTAATCTGTTTTGTAATCAGCACTCGCTTCCATGTCCCAGGAACAGATGAGATGCTAAATCAGCAGGAGCTAGATGGGAGCTCAGCTCTTCCTACAGGCCTGTGCTGGTCTTGGATGGATCATCTGCGCAAAAGCAAATAAACATCAAAACACTGTATTTTCATTAGATTATACAATTTATAACAAGCCATAAATGTAGGTGTAGAGTTTTCAGGACTTACATGCATTTTATGTGGGTGCTATTTATTTCCACCCTACCTTTGTGGGACATTCATGATGTTTTCTCCATATTAGCTACACAGCTAGGGGCTTGATAGGTGCGGGATCCTTCCCGCGTCAATCTGTGGCACAGAGATGATGTCACACAGTCAGTGAGACATCCGCAGGAGAGCTGCGCAGCCGTGCGAGAGATGCGCATGAGCCGCCTGTATCGGAGGTCTGCGCGAGAGCCGTCTGTATCGGAGGTCTGCGCGAGAGCCGTCTGTATCGGAGGTCTGCGCGAGAGCCGTCTGTATCGGAGGTCTGCGCGAGAGCCGTCTGTATTGGAGGTCTGCGCGAGAGCCGCAGGCCAAGCTCTAAACACCACGAGCGGAATCTATACTGATAATCAGCCAAGACCACATGCCAGTGGTCTCTCCACGTAAACTGCTGTCCTTATCGAAAAGCTCAAATGTTCAGTAAATACACAGATAATGCATGTTAACATTTTCTGTCACTTAAATGAAGGATTATAATGAGTAACAACAGTAACGGCTACAATAGCAATAATATATTTATTTTTCCTCTATATTAAGTTTACACGATTCACACAAAGCTTGAAAAATCAATTCAAATGTGTCTCAAAGCCGATGCTGCTGCAGGCTTACAGACGCCTTACTGACATTTTGAACGATTGTAAATGAAGGAGACACGCTGTGATCGATGCAGAACAGTCACACCTGGAACCGCAGAAAGCCTGTTATGCGGCTGCAGTTTGAGATGGAAATTAACGTCAATTAAGTGGAGAAAAACGTATGAGGCAAATGTGCCCTGTGGCCATGGGAAACAAAGTTTAATTTATTTCAAATTTTTTCTTTTTCTCTGGGAAAATTTCCACGTCTTACTTCTGTACCAAGTTCGACATGGTTCTTCCTTGGCCCATTGTTGTGCTTGGAGGAGAATGGGAGATGTATTGATGGCTTCTGGATCTGAGAAGGACAGCTGTCTAATCAGTCATGCGTTTCTGCCTTTCAAGGGACCATAACATCCAAAACAAGAGTGAGAATAAATACATTAAACACGGAAAATACTGTCATGGCAAATGTTTGGCTTTACATAATCTGTAATTCACAAATTTTAGGCAATTGCTTGTTTTCAAAAGCCATGAATTAAAAATCCATAAATATTGCTAGACGTTTTGCTTCAAATAGTGCAGCTTATATTGCATCATCTGTATTGCAAATGACATATATTCAAACAGTTGCTATAATAATGATTTCAAAGGGGAATAATCCTGCCATATCAGATAGGAGCATGCAGTATGCATGCAGTAGCTTCTATATGTTTTCTTTTTTTTTCTGACAGTTTCTCGCAATGCAGCAGATTTGCAATTCTATGTCGAACAGGGGTGTAGCTGAATTCTTCAGCTGAGGTCTTTGGAAAATCAGTAAAAAGTAATTGGGCCCAGACTTGGTGGGCAAATCGCACCTGCACAATAAAAGGTGCTTCAGCTGGACCGGTTAGTGACCTCCTGCCATCTGGAGGTACCGTGTGACCTTTCTGGGGTGGCCTACGACTGGACGCCTGTCTTGACTCAAACTTGAGATTTCCCACAATTCCTTGACAGATCCAATGAACTGCTCTTAAGACAAGCTAATTACACACGGACCAGAGGAGCTGGATTTGTTGGATTTTCGCTGCAGGCAATCGCCACAGTGTCTCGTATGAATGAACTGAAGCATTCCATCCCTGGCAGCTCGCTGGCAGAACATTTTACTGAAAAACCAGCAAGGGGAGAAAACGCGCAAAGGATGCCAAGAAAAACGTGATGTTCGGCCACATTTGCTGATATGGCAGAAATACACCAGGCTCCTGCAAGATCTTAGCATGGACCGGGTTAAGCACACAAAATCCAAGCAGTGGTTGAACTGACCCACCATGTTTTACGATATATTACATAACACAAGTAGGGCTCTGGACGGCTCAGAATCCCTCTGGAAAATGATCAGGTTTAGGGGTCACTCTTAGGCCACCGCGCTAAATAAACACTGGCGAAGGACTCAACTGCACATAAAGAGGCTGACTGCGCCGCAGCTTCTCCGCAGTACAGGTACAGATATTACATCTGCAAAATCCGTAAGAACTTAATACAAAACAATGACTCCGATTAAACAACGGTTTAAACGGATTTTTTTTTTTTTTTTAAAAAAAAGAAAAACGTTTAACATATTTGCAAATTGCACGAATCTAAAAAGCTGGTTCGAATAACGTGAATAGACGGCCCGGAGAGTGGGGAAACCCCGGCACAATGTAATAAAAACGAATGAAATGCCCCCGTTGTTTTCGCAGCTCCCTTTAAAACAATGGCAGCGAACGACCCTCTGTAAATTAATTCCGCGATAAATGGGAAACATGCAAATTTCCCAATTAAGCACTTTGCAGGACCGAAGGAGGCAGCTCGCCGCTGAGCTGTCTCACTGCCTTCAG